AGTTGAATCATACACAAAGATACAAGTTATTCTTTAGGATAAGCTGAATTAAATATACGCAAAGATACAAGTTATCATTAAGGAAAAGCTGAATTAAATATACACAGAGGTACAGGCTATCCTTTAGCATGATCTCAATCAAATATACACAGAGATACAGGCTATCCCTTAGGATCAGCTGAAATCATATGTACACACTGAAAATTGATGGGTCAAACAGTCCACTTTCAGCTGGTAGCACTGATACGGCATTTTAAGGGGTCAAGCTGGGAGATGATGACTCACATAGGAACAAGAAGTACGTCGCTTCTTAGACGAAATATCGTTCATTTTTCCTAGTGTACTTGGAGAAAATAAATTAATGAATTGAGAGACAGATCTAATTAGCATGAAATGAAGAAACCATTTTAGAAGTTCTGGATAATATACATATGTGCAGAAAGGCGAAGTATGATAAAATATTAATTTATTTGATTAGAAACGCAATAATAAATTTAAAAAGAGAATGAAAGCAATAATAAGAAATGAATAATTCAGTGTATTACATTTAATGACAAAGATCCTTATTATATCTTCAGTTATATTAACTTTAGAAATATACGCCTTTACCAATAAACATGCATGAATTTCTTGAGCATTCGAAAAATTCAGTATAATGTGTAATTAAAATTGTGTCTCTTAGTATCATTTCGTTTGTATTATGGTTCCAACAACAATATCTTATCTATGACTTCAATTTCTTATACTGAACATTATTGCATTGAAAATGTCATTACACTTTGTTCCTCGCCATTACCTTACGACGAGCTACTGTATATTCCTTAATTAGAATTCTAAATTCCCTGCTCAGGGAGCTTCTGAAGGCAATCAAGTTATCAGGAATTGTGCACATCCTGCTTGAAGTTCATCGCTCCAAAATACATTCCCTGCTGAAGCAGGCGCAGCAGATAGGCCTGATGACGGCCTATCACCACTACTTCATCACTTCTTTGGTGCGCACTCCTCTCCATTATAGCCATTATCGATCGATGCTCATATTCAACATTTGGTGTTTTAAATAAATTGTGGTCTTAAGTGATATTTGGGCTTTTACATTCAGTTTTGCTTTTTTTAAATAATTATCAATTTTATTCCAGATTATAAAGCTTAATTCGGAAATTTTCGACACTATTTTACTGCAATTCTTACAAAGAGCACATGGTATCAAGTGCGTAATTTTCCCTCGCTATGTATGCAGTGTACAGGGAAGATTTCATTATATGCTGTGACAGGAACCAGATCTATATCGCGAGAAATCATTTCCATTTTAAATACGCTAAAAATCAAAATACGATGTTCTGTTGTGATCAGTTGTGATGGAAACCATTTGAAGCAATTGCATTTATCGGGTATTTCATAATGAAGATGATTTATTGTGATATAAATATGGTTTAATATATTTGATATAATAATATTTGATATAATCTAAATATTATATCAATTTGCTAAGAATCCTCCCCATCATTTCACCTCACCAGGACCTGCACACTGTGGACCTGGAAGACTTCAAATACTCTGGCACCAACACCACAGCTCTGCGTCTCATTAACCTCAGTGACGGAACTCTGCAGCAAATTCTGCGCGATTGGTCTGCTGATCTCGACGACTCTGGGAATATTTTCGGTGGTGAAATCGTGGCAGGATATTCATTTGCTGATGTACCGAATATTTTTGAAGTTCCTGCCTCTGTAAGTCCGCAGTCATTCGCCCTGTTGCCGGAATATGTTGACTCGAAGTTCCCGACGCGAAGTTCGGGACCGCTGAGTCCCGGACATGTTGAGGAGGCGCAAGTTACGAACTTCAGTGCGATGCCGGTGAGAGAACTTGACTAAGTTTTGAACTTCACGAACTTTATTAAGTTATGAAGTTTACGAACTTCAGTGCGATGCCGGTGAGAGAACTTGACTAAGTTTTGAAGTTTATGACCTTTAATAAGTTATGAAGCTCGTGAACTTCTGTGCGATGCCGGTGAGAGAACTTGACTAAGTTTTGAAGTTCATGAACTTTAAAAAGTTATGAAGTTTAAGAACTGCGGCGAACTTGAGAAAGTTTCGAAGTTTTCCATAAATTGTTAGTTTGAACAAAACTTCAGATCATGAAGCGTAAACGTTTTGGGTGTTAACATGTGGATAGATCGATGCCCTTTTTCAAGTAAGGAGTGGCTTATATTTTTTAAATATTAACCGAAATTTTCCCTTTACTTTCAAATGATAAATTCATTCATAGATCAAAAAGTTTGATAGTTGATTATCAGAATTCTAAGAAGATAAAAATTTCCAGTCAGACATCATTCAATATTTGCTAGAATTAAATTTGCGACGTAAAAAATAATCAAAACACTTATGTATATTTAATTTATCAATTAAATTACATACGAATGAAAATATATTTTCATTTATATCTTCATTATACCTTTGCTCACAAAATCTTCTTTACCAGGAAATTTTTCCACAGCCAGGACTTCTCGCAGCCCCTCAAAATAATGAAAGAATTTTATAAATAAATATAAGATAACCAAAGTCTAATGTTTCATTTCAGAAAAATATATTAAAGTCGCCTCATTAACTTTTGTTTTGCCATTGAATTCTTATTAGTGAATGATTTCGCTCTTAAACGGAGCTGCCGCTTGTGAAATTTATCGTTATAACATCCCTTAGAGAAAATATTGGAATGAATTCAACCCTTTTAGGATAAAAATTCGGCCACTCCTATAGAGAAATATGTTTAATTCGCTTTTAATTTCTCTAGGGAATGAATTCTTTAAAAATTCATCCCCAGACGGAGCTAGCCCTTGTAAAATTCACCTTAGTTTTTTTAGGAAACCATGTTGAATTCGCTTTAAATTANCTGTTGACTCTGTTTCATGCGAGTGTTGCAGGGGTGCATCTGTTGACTCTGTTTCATGCGAGTGTTGCAGGGGTGCATCTGTTGACTCTGTTCCATGCGGGTGTTGCAGGGGTGCATCTGTTGACTCTGTTTCATGCAGGTGTTGCAGGGGTGCATCTGTTGACTCTGTTTCATGCGGGTGTTGCAATGATAACTAGGATTTTAGGATCTTCTCATTTAGGACCTTTTTCATTTAGGATTTTTTTCGTTTTTCAGAGTCAGTGAGAAGTTTTAATTTTTATTAACAAAATGAAATCTTCAGTTTCAAAAACCACAGCAGTGCTCTGCAGCTTCGCTAAAATAAGAAAAACTGTATAATCTAAAAATTTATTTTTTTCGTTTTTTAATACGTGTTTAATTTATTTTAAACACTCCATGATCGCAAAATTATTCGTAAAGGAAGATTTTTAATTGTCAAATAACTCCAATTTAAAACATTCAATTATTGCCAATATTTGCTTTAAGTCTCTTATACAATATATCATTTGATAGGTTGAATCTAATGGACGTTTAGTTCACGGCATTCAAGCATAGATTAAAATATTGGATAAACTGACCATTCAAATTAATAAATAAACAAGTAAATTAATCAATAAACTATAAATAACTACAATATTTAGACTCAAATGCACACTTCGACATGTTACACAAATTATTTCAATAAAGTCTTATTATTTATGTCTTTTGGTCTAAAAATTCATTCGCTATTTTAATTTAATATAATTATTTATATTATTCACTTTACAATGAACTTGTTATCGTTTTTTATTGCAATAAAATTATTAATAAATATCTATTAATTTATTTTTATTTCCGAATAATTGGGTGCCAATTGATTATAAAATATTGTTACGGAAATGAATAAATTTTGTCTCATCAACGTGAAATTCCAAATAAAATTGATGATACAATTTTTTTTCATGGGATTCCATTTAGATTTTTGAAGATGTTGAACAATATTCTGGTCAAGGTCCCCTATAATTCTTTGATTGTGGGAGGAATTCGATTTTCGACTATTCCTCAAATTGGGATAATAAATTTAAGCATACTATTCCATCCAATTCGAATATTCAATCTAATTTTATAGTAATTTTTAAATTTTTCCCTCTTTTTGTCACAATAAATTTCAATTGGACTTTTGATGTTGCAAAAATTTAATTTTTTTTCTTACGGAATTTGAGTGAAATATTTGGACAGTAGGGTTTTTTTCATGAAAGCTTACAATGAAATTTGCATGAGCGATAAATTTTTACGACTTCCTAAACTTAGACTTGATAGCTTCTCACAGAACTTTGGATTGTCCAGGCCTCCGGGGTTAGGGAAATTATGGATATTGCTGATTGAAATTTCTGCAGGATTTATCAGCATTACATTGTGCGATAGCACGTTGATTTTAATCTTGCATAGAATATGTGTAGAGTATTTATTTATAACCAACGTTGCTCCGATTAGGTAATTTCTGCAATTTTAGAATCCTGTTATCCAATAATTTTTGTGTTATATTTTAGTGATAAACAGAACAAAGTAATTAAACAACTTTCCATTTCGCCTCAAAAACGATGGCTCTGCAATCAACTTTAATATCCTGCTGGCTTTTGCTGCACATCAGCGACGCGGCCGGCAAGTCTGATATTGTCAGAATAGGTGAGTAATTTGGTTCACGATTCTTCATAACGAACATGCAGTGTTCAGTCTCCAAATCTAACTAAAATTTACTGCAGAATCTTTCATGGTGAACCGTATTAGCGGAGCTGAATAACTAAATATATGTTGAATCTTTGAAAAAAACGCTTGTTTTGCTTCCATTACAGTGTGGACTTATAGTTCTTCAACTCTTTCGATCTCGGATTAGCTCTGATCTTACTTGGCATAGCACCTGTTAACTACTGGGGTGTGTAACTAAGGTACCCAGCCTTTTTATAAACTAAAAACTTCTGCCCGCCGGGTTCTTGTCTCATGTCCTCATGACACTTGTGCTGTATAAGCTGTTGACTCAACGTCTGAGGCAAGTTCTCAGTGACACAGTGAACGCATAGCAAATTAGTTATACTGGTAAACGCATTAGGATTTGTATCCACAAACTACTCTTGGAAATTAAAGGCATTTGCTTGATTTTAGGTAAATGTTAGTAGTAACTAGCGCAGACTAGATTGCAGCAGGTGCGTGAAGTTAGTTAAATATTTAGATCAAATACCGTAGTCTAAATGACTGCACGTGTGTGAGGTTAGTTAAGTATTAAGAGTAATTACCGCAGACTAAATTGCTGTAGGTTCGAAAGGTTAGTTAAATATTAAGAGTAACTACCGCAGACTAAATTGCTGTAGGTTCGAAAGGTTAGTTAAAAATTAAGAGTAATTACCGCAGACTAATCGACTGTGTGCATGAAGTTAGTTAAATAATAGAAATAATTACCGTAGACTAAATGACTGCACGTGCGTAAAGTTAGTTAAATTTAAATATTAAGCGTAATTACCGCAAACAACATGACTGTAGGTGCGTTAAGATAATTAAATATTAGGATTAATTACCTCATGCTAGTCATATGTATAAATAAGTCGAACTGTGGATCTCATGAGAGACATATCATGTCTGTTGGTGCGCAAAGTTATTTAAATATTAAGAGTAATTACCGCAGACTAAATGGCTACCGGAGAACAAAAGCCAGCAAGGCCTGGAAGTTGATATCCAAATAAAGACTGAAGATGATAGTCATATGTAAAAATAAATCAAACTGTGGATCTCAGGAAGGACACGTACATTATTCCAATTAGACAAATTATATTCCCTCGCTGATTTTTTGGGGTTTTACTATTATTTTCAACGTTATTGTAATTTTCAATGTCATTACCAAAATAAATTAAAGTATAAAAATCACAGTCTAGTATCCATCTGAACAATACATGCCAATTATTTATGGGTCATTAACCAATTCAACAATAACAATGGCAATATCAGACAGATATTCTTTTTCATATTGTCCATTACTTATTAATAATAAGCATTAATTATTTAGCTGGAAGCCCGAGGATATTTTTAAAACATAGCAATACTTTAGCAAATTGTTCGAACGAAACTAAATTTTGATTGATTTAGCCATTTTAGCGCAAATGATGAATTTACGCTAATGACGTTGAACCTTTGCAGATTTTCGCTCATCGTATTGAATAATTTATTTTTAATAAACTACACTCAGCCTAGCTTCACGCCGATAACATTTATCCCGTTTTGTTTTCAGAAATGTAACCTAATTTTTCGCACTCTTATATTAATAACTTTTGCGATTGGAAAAATATCGTGTGCTTTACCATGATGGCTGTCACTGTTGTTGATATTTTCTCTTTATTATTACTGTTATACTCCTAATAATTGTTCACTTTATTATTACTATTATACTCCTAATAATTTATACTCCTAGTAATATTCCACTCGAAGCTGAGCTTTTAACACTCTGGAATATTTTTGTGAATTTTTATGTTTAATTTTTTTTTCCATTTGTGACAGACGGCCGAAAATGCGCTGCTTAACGCATCGAGTTTCAATAATTGGGTATCGGAGTCACGTGTATATTTGAATTTCCGCTCAGAAATTATTGTTGAGTAATGCCTCTTTAACAAAATTTTTATTTCTGCTATTTTTTACGTGATGAATTGTTTACTTGTAAAAATAAATACGTGTTCAATTGTTTGATGAATGCCACTTTAACGAAATTATTAATTCGGTTATTATTTTTTCATGGAATTGCAATTCAAATACATCTTAAATATTTCTTATTAATATATATGATATTAACAGAGACTGTATACAAATTTAAAAAGTGTAATGTAAGAAATTTTCTCTAGTTTTCAAATGAAGTCGCACGACCAGGCAAAAACCGTTAATGCATCAGAAATGGGAGAATTTTTCACGATATGAAGATTTTTATTTTATTTAACAATACGCTGCGAAATAGTATCATAATTATAGCCGCAATCCCAGGCGCAATCTTCGATGAGCCCAGCCTGCGGGAGGAGCAAGTTTTCCGCGCTGCAATCGAGGCAATCAACGGCAATCGAAAGCTGTTGGCACACAGCAGATTTGCAGGGTCTACAGATGGCGGCAGCGTACAGACTGCCTGCGACCATCTGGAGGTGCCGCTGCTTATGGCGCGCTGGCAGAACAGACGGCCGCCCTTTGCAATCAATCTCCACCCGCCCCCGTCAACCTTGGCCGCCGTGAGTCTAGATTTTGTGTAAACCCGTATTTATACCGTATTTATACTGTATTTATACCGTATTAAAAAATGACCGATCAGTCTCTACTTTCCTCCGTTAACTCTGGCCACTGTGAGTCCAGATACTGTTTAAAACCGTATTTATACCGTATTTAACCGTATTAAAACAATGACCGATCAATCTCTGCTCTCCGCCTTCAACTCTGGCCGCTGTGAGTCAACTCCAGATACTGTGTAAAATTTTATTTATACCGTAGTCGTATATGAGTCGTATTTGTTGTATTAAACTGATAGTCAATCAGTCTCTACTCTCCAACTGATGATAAGTATGATGACCGATCAATCTCCGCCCTCAATCCTTACGCAGGCGTGGCTGTCAGCCACATTCACCATATTAGAGCAATCGTCAATCAATCTTTACCCTCGCCTTGCCACCCTGGGCTCCATGAGTCGCATTCACCATATTAAAGCAATCGGCAATCAATCTCTACCCTCGCCATGCCACCCTGGGCTCCATGAGTCTCATTCACCATATTAAAGCAATCGGCAATCAATCTCTACCCTCGCCTTGCCACCCTGAGCTCCATGAGTCGCATTCACCATATTAAAGCAATCGGCAATCAATCTCTACCCTCGCCATGCCACCCTGGGCTCCATGAGTCTCATTCACCATATTAAAGCAATCGGCAATCAATCTCTACCCTCGCCTTGCCACCCTGAGCTCCATGAGTCGCATTCACCATATTAAAGCAATCGCCAATCAATCTCCCCTGACAGCCGTGGATTTCTCTTCACCGCATGAGGTCAATGATCGATTCACCGCCACCCCTCACCCTCAGCTGCTGTGATCTAATCTCAGTTCTATGCAACATTCACTGAAAATTTAATGAGCAGTCACTGAACATTCATTGAACATTCAAAAACTGAACAGTCACTGAACATTCACTGAACTGTCACTGATTATTCACTGAATATTTACTGAACAGTTACTGAAACACCGGCATTAAAGGATTGGAGAACATCAACCAATGATGTTTTGCATGTAACATTTCCTGAGTTATTTTGGTACACACCAAAAACACACCAATGACACACCAATAACACACCAATAACACACCAATAACACACCAATAACCCACCATTAACCCACCATTAACACACCAATAACACACCAATAACACACCAATAACACACCAATAACACACCAATAACGCACCAATAACACACCAATTACACACCAATAACACACCAATAACCCACCAATAACACACCAATAACACACCAATAACACACCGATAACACACCAATAACGCACCAATAACACACCAATCCCACACCCCCAGCACGCCACTACCCCACGTTACACACCTCTCCCCTCCCAGGCGTACAGGTCGGTCCTACAGGCGCTGGGGTGGCAGGACTTGATTGTGGTGTGCGACTCCAGCGAAGGACTCCTGCGGGTGAAGGAACTCCTTAAAGATGACGCCTTCAGGGTCACGCTCAGGGACCTGCCTCGCGGCCTGGATTACAGGTTATCCTTTAGGATCTGTTGAATTAAATATACGCAGAGATACAGGTTTTCCTTTAGGATCAGTTTAATCGAATATAGACAGAGATACAAGTTATCCTTTCGGATCAGTAGAATCAAATATACACAGAGATACAGGCTATCTTTTACGATCAGTTGAATTAAATATACACAAAGATACAGGTTATCTTTTAGGATAAGTTGAAATCATGTATATACACACGGAAAATTGATGGCTCAAATAGTCCATGAATCGACATTTTCAGCTGGTAGCACTGATACGCCATTTTGAAGGGTCAAGCTGGGTGAGGATGAATCACATAGGTACATGAAGTACATTGCGATTTGGACAAATTATCGTTCATTTTTACGAGTGTACTCGGAGAAAATAAATTAATGAATTGAAAGAGAACTAATTAGTATGAAATGAAGAAGCCATTTGAAAAGTTTGGGACAATATATGTGCAGAAAGGCGAAGTATGATAATATATTAATTTATTTGATTAGATACGCAATAATAAATTTAAAGAGAAAGAAAACAATAATAAGAAATGAATAATTCAGTGTATTACATTTAATGTCAAAGATCCTTATTATATCCTCATTTATATTAACTTTAGAAATATACGCCTTCATCAACTAACATGCATGAATTTCTAGAACATTAGCTGAATTCAGTATAATGCGTAATTAATGTTGTGTCTCATAGTATCATTGCGTTTGTATTTCGGTTCCAACAACAATATCTGATTTGTGACTTCAATTTTTTATACTGAACATACATTACTGTTTGCATTGAAAATGTCATTACCCTTCTTTCCTCGTCATTACCTTACGATGAGCTACTGTATATCCCTTAATTTTCATTCTAATTTCCCCTCCCCAGGGAGCTTCTGAAGGCAATCAAGTTATCAGGAATTGTGCACATCCTGCTTGAAGTTCATCGCTCCAAAATACATTCCCTGCTGAAGCAGGCGCAGCAGATTGGCCTGATGACGGCCTATCACCACTACTTCATCACTTCTTTGGTGAGAAATTAGTATCCTTAGTATCCTTAATGTCCTTAGTATCCTTAGTATCCTTAGTATCCTTACCATCCTTGGTGTCTTAGCATTCTTAGTATCCTTAGTATCCTTAATATCCTTAGTATAATTTGTATCCTTAGTACTGTATCCTTAATATCCTTAGTATCCTTAGTATCCTTAATATCATTAGTATCCTTAGTATTTGTTTCGGACGTAACAGTCCCAGGCCACGATGAATCGCCGCCTCGCCATCATAGCCATTATCACACTTCGATGCTCATATTCAACTATTGGTTTTTTAAATAAATTGTGGTCTTAAGTGATATTTGGGCTTTTACATTCAGTTTTACTGTTTTTTTTATTTATTTAATAATTATCAACTATCAATGTTATTCCAGATTATAAAGCTTAATTCGCTAATTTTCGACACTACCTATTTTACTGAAATTGTTACAAAGAGCACATGGTATCTAGTGCATCATTTTCCCTCACTATGTACATATGCAGTGTACAGGGAAGATTTCATTATGTGCTGTGACAGGAACCAGACTTATGTCGCGATAAATCATTTTCATTTAAATACGCTAAAAATCAAAATACGATGTTCTGTTGTGATCAGTTATGATGGAAACCATTTGAAGCAATTGAATTTATCGGGTTTTTCATAATGAAGATGATTTATTGTGAAATAAATATTGTTTAATATATATATTCGATATTATAATATTTGGTATAATCTAAATATTATATAAAATTGTTACGAATTTTCCCCATCATTCCATCGCACCAGGACCTGCACACTGTGGACCTGGAAGACTTCAAATACTCTGGCACCAACACCACAGCTCTGCGTCTCATTAACCTCAGTGACGGAACTCTGCAGCAAATTCTGCGCGATTGGTCTGCTGATCTCGACGACTCTGGGAATATTTTCGGTGGTGAAATCGTGGCAGGATATTCATTTGCTGATGTACCGAATATTTTTGAAGTTCCTGCCTCTGTAAGTCCGCAGTCATTCGCCCTGTTGCCGGAATATGTTGACTCGAAGTTCCCGACGCGAAGTTCGGGACCGCTGAGTCCCGGACATGTTGAGGAGGCGCAAGTTACGAACTTCTGTGCGATGCCGGTGAGAGAACTTGACTAAGTTTTGAAGTTTATGACCTTTAATAAGTTATGAAGTTCGTGAACTTCTGTGCGATGCCGGTGAGAGAACTTGACTAAGTTTTGAAGTTCATGAACTTTAAAAAGTTATGAAGTTTAAGAACTGCGGCGAACTTGAGAAAGTTTCGAAGTTTTCCATAAATTGTTAGTTTGAACAAAACTTCAGATCATGAAGCGTAAACGTTTTGGGTGTTAACATGTGGATAGATCGATGCCCTTTTTCAAGTAAGGAGTGGCTTATATTTTTTAAATATTAACCGAAATTTTCCCTTTACTTTCAAATGATAAATTCATTCATAGATCAAAAAGTTTGATAGTTGATTATCAGAATTCTAAGAAGATAAAAATTTCCAGTCAGACATCATTCAATATTTGCTAGAATTAAATTTGCGACGTAAAAAATAATCAAAACACTTATGTATATTTAATTTATCAATTAAATTACATACGAATGAAAATATATTTTCATTTATATCTTCATTATACCTTTGCTCACAAAATCTTCTTTACCAGGAAATTTTTCCACAGCCAGGACTTCTCGCAGCCCCTCAAAATAATGAAAGAATTTTATAAATAAATATAAGATAACCAAAGTCTAATGTTTCATTTCAGAAAAATATATTAAAGTCGCCTCATTAACTTTTGTTTTGCCATTGAATTCTTATTAGTGAATGATTTCGCTCTTAAACGGAGCTGCCGCTTGTGAAATTTATCGTTATAACATCCCTTAGAGAAAATATTGGAATGAATTCAACCCTTTTAGGATAAAAATTCGGCCACTCCTATAGAGAAATATGTTTAATTCGCTTTTAATTTCTCTAGGGAATGAATTCTTTAAAAATTCATCCCCAGACGGAGCTAGCCCTTGTGAAATTCACCTTAGTTTTTTTAGGAAACCATGTTGAATTCGCTTTAAATTACCATCTGTAGATTCAAATCTCAGTCAATTCGCACCTACTTGCTTCGGAAAATATGTTCAATTTGCTGTGAATTTTCTTCTTGGTATTGCATTCTCAGGCAATTCGTCCCTATTTACTTTGGAAAATATGTCGAATTTGCTATGAATTTTCTTTTTGGATTGAATTATTTTCCAATTGACCGGCAGACGGAACTGGCGCTGGTGTACGACGCGGTGCAGCTGTTCGCCAGAGCGCTCAGCGACCTCGACAAGACGCGGGCCATCGAAGTGCTGCCGCTCAACTGCTCCAAGGAGCAAGTCTGGCCACTTGGAGCCACTGATTTCAGTCAAGGATGGTGGAACGACTGCATGCACACCACCCCATACGACGCCAGGCGGGTAACTGAAGTGTAGCTCAAGCAGACACTCTATTTAAAGTGCCCGGAAGCTAATTTCCCCGTATCTTAAATGTTAAAGAACTCCACCACCCCCCACCCTTGCGGGATCTGTCGTGAACGCTTAAATCAACGTACAAAGATGATTTTTGTACCGTTGGATAGGTTTTGGTACTTATAGGGTAGACCCCCCCCCTTAAATTTGAATATTACAAGCACGTTTAATCATTTGATGATGTTTATACGTTTTGTAGTTGGGCTTTTCAGTAATAAATGATTGTTTAAATTAAATTTGAAGAAAGAAAGCATAAACAATCATTATTATTTACTATTTGTTTTATTATTATTATTTATGATATTATGATATTATGATTATGTTTTAACGTTGAATGTTAAGGTTGAGCTGTACGGCTTCTCTGGACTGGTGCGTTTCAACGCTTATGGTTCATATTATGATTCATAATATGGTTCATATTATGGCTCATATCATAGTTGCAGTGTCTCATTATGGAGACTATTATATTTAATTATTATAGATTTATCACACATTATTGTAGCTTTATTTCAGGTTTTGAGTTCCGTTCAATATTTGGAATTTAATTTTCAGAGGCAAAAGAGAGTAAAAAATTCTGCTTCTTGAGTTTTTCAAATGCCAGTGTGAGCTTTATTTTATTATTATTATTATTATTATCATTATCATTATTATTATTATTATCATTATCATTATTATTATTTTGACAAACTCATTAAGGTTGACCTGAGGATGCCATTATAAGGGTTCCATGTGCCCTCATGTAATCAGTTTCTGTTTAACAAAACATCACTAATTAAAATAATAAAGTCTTCACAAAAGGATTTATATTCAATATTAATGTATGGAACGGTGTCACGGTCGTGGATTAACCCCTGAATGTCATTTCAAAATAATGATCACAATTTTCACAGCTAGCTGCAAGTCTCTCGCTCGCAATTCATTGTCCTTATTAATAACGTTTACCTACTTCCTTGTTGGTGAAAACTTTCTCTCGGATACAGAATTTAATTTTCAAATTTTTGTGTTTGGATAAATTTATTTATTTCCGAAGCTTTATATATGTTTTCAATTTATGGGAGGCTAAAACTTGTAAAATTTAAGCATGGAGGATTGCATTCTTAATTAAAAAACATTGATTCAAGTAATTCTTTTAAATATATGAAGTTCATTAAAACTATTTCATTTATTTAAAGAAATTTATTTATTTCTATAGTGATTATTTTTGGTGATTTATAAAAGATTAATTCTAAAATACGTATCCTTCAACCCATTAGAGTTTCGTAGGATGAGGCTGGCAGTGCCAGTGCGCTGCGCGCTCTCGAGAGGTGAGGTGTGCGTCGCTGCTCAGTGATATTTCTCACGTGTTGCGAAGAAATTTTACGCGGACTTCGGATTAAAAAATTCCGAAATAGATAATTTATAAGATGTGAATTCTAAGTGCCAGATTGGATTAAAAAAATAATTCTTAATTCTCAGCAAACGTCATTTAGAAAATCGCGAGCATTTAATAGTAGTAGGCTAATCATAATTTCAAATCAATACTATTGATTGAAATAAATAAAATTGTAAAATCTATCTTCCATAGATTTTTGTTAATAAATTAATCAGATTACCAAATTTAAATGTAGACACAAGACAGGAGATAACAATAAATAATGAAAAAAACTGGGAGGACAAAGAAAAGTGTCATTATTTAGATCAGCAATATTACTAGAAGGTTAATTTTGCATTAGGGAAAATGTTTTTTTCTCCCATCAATATAAAAAAACATGAGGAACTGAACTAGTGACAACTTCTGTTCTTCTGTTGGTGAATACAAACTATAATATTTTTTTGTATTGTCCACGTATTATTTATGATCTTGTTGCAGGGGACTCTGTTGACTCTGTTTTATGCGAGTGTTGCAATGATCACTAGAATTTTTCGTTTTTCATCAGTGAGAAGTTTCAATTTTTATTAACAAAATGAAAACTTCAGGTCCAAAAACCACTGCAATGCTCTGGAGCTTCGCTAAATTGTACAAAATTGTGTAATCTAAAAATTTATTGTTCGTTTATTAATACGTGGTTTAATTTATTTTAAACACTTCATGATCGCAAAAATTTTCGTAAAGGAAACTTTTTAATTGTCATATAACTCCAATGGGAAATGTGCAATTATTGTCAATATTTCTTTTAAGTGTCTCACACAATGTATTATTTTGTAGGTTAAATATAATGGACGTTTAGTTCACGGCATCCAATCATATATTAAAAGAATAGATAAACTGTCAACTCAAGTTGAAATAATAAATAAGCTAATAAATTAATTAATAAGCTATAAATAACTACAATAATATGACTCAAATGCACACATCGGCATATTACAGAAATCATTTCGATAAAGTATTATTATTCATGTCTTTTGGTTTAAAAATTCATTCACTATTATAATTTCATATATTTATATTCTTCATTAAGTTTACAATGAACTTGTGTTTATGTTTTTTTTAAATAAAATGATTATTAAATAAATACCAATTTCTTTATATTTCTGAATAATTGGGGGCCAATTAATAATAAAATATTGTCACGGAAATAAATAAATTTTGCTTCATCACCGTGAAATTCCAAAGACATTTATGAAATTCCAACATTTAGACAACAAACATTTACAATGTTTATCATGGAATTCCATTTAGATTTTTTAAGAGCTTAAACAATATTGTGACCAAGTTCCCCTAAATCTTTGCTTTTGGTATTCTTGATTTTCGGCTATTCCCCTCATTGGGATATTAAATATAATTATAATATTCCATCCAATGTGAATATTTAATCTAATTCTATAATAATTTTGTATTTTTTTCCCTCTTTCACACTAAATTTTCAGTTGGGCTTTTGATGTTGCAAAAATGTATTTTTTCCGGAATTTGAGTAAATTTTTGAACAGCAGAGTTTTCCATAAAAGCTTACGATGGAATTTGCGTGAGTGATAAATTTTAACGACTTCCTAAAGTTAGGCTTGATAGCTTCTCACAGAACTTTGGATTGTCCAGGCCTCCAGGGTTAGGGAAATTATGGATATTGCTGATTGAAATTTCTGCAGGATTTGTCAGCAGTACATTTTGCGATAGCCCGTTTGATTTTAATTTTATATAGAATATGTGTAGAGATAAAAAATGTGTGTATTTATTGAACACTAGCGTTGCTCCGATTAGGTAATTCCTGCAATTTTAGAATCCTGTTATCCAATAATTTCTCTTATGCTGAATCACTTTAATAATAACTAAGTCCATATATTTCAGTTATAAAAATAAAACAAAGTAATTAAACAACTTTCCATTTAACCTCATAAACGATGACTCTGATATCGACTTTAATATCCTGCTGGCTTTTGCTGCACATCAACGACGTGGCCGGCAAGTCTGATATTGTCAGAATAGGTGAGTAATTTGGTTCACGATTCTTCATAATGAACATGCAGTATTCAGTCTCCAAATCTTGTTGAAATTCACTTGCGGAACCTTTCATGGCGAACGCATTAGCGGAGCTGAATAACTAAATATATTTTAAATATTTGAAAAAAAAACGCAAGTTTTGCTTCCATTACTGTGAGGATTTATAGTCCTTCACAACTTTCGACCTCGGATTAGCTCTATCTATTGTTAAATGGCATTAAATGGCATCGCACTTGTTAACTACTGGGGTATTTAACTAAAGTACCCTGCCTTTTTATAGACTTTTACTTCCACCCGCTGGGTTCTTGTCTCTTGTCCTCGTGACGCATGTGCTGTATAAGCTGTTGCTCAGCGTCTGATGCAAGCTCTCAGTGACACAGTGAACTCAGAGCGAATAGTTTTACTGGTAACCGCATTAGGATTTGTCTTCACAAACTACTCTTGAATAGAATATTAGAGACAGTTGCTTGATGTTAGTTAAATGTGACTAGTATCTAGCGCAGACTAGATTGCTGCAGGTGCGTGAAGTTAGTTAAATATTGAGAATAATTACCGTAGATTAAATGATTGCCCGTGCGTGAGGTTAGTTAACTATTAAGAGTGATTACCGCAGACTAAATTGCTGTTGGTGTATTAAGTTAGTTAAATATTAATTATAATTACCTCAGACTAAATTGATGTTGGTGCGCAAAGTTATTTAAATATTAAGAGTGATTACAGCAGCATAAATGGCTGCAGGTGCTTTCAGAAAGTAAGTTATTAATGAAGAGTAACTACCGGATAACAAATGCCAGCAGGGCCTGGAAGTCGATATCCAAATAAAGACTGAAGATGATAGTCATATGTATAAATAAATCAACTGAGGCTCTCAGTAGGGACACGTACATTATTTTAATTAGACAAATTATATCCCTCGCTGATTTTTGGGTTTTACTGTTATTTCCAACGTTATTGTAATTTTCAATGTCATTACCAAAATAAATTAAAGTATTAAAATCACCGTCTATTATCCATCTGAACAATACATGTCAATTTATGTGTCATTACCTAATTCAACAATAACAATAGAAATATCAGACAGATATTCTTTTTTTCATACTGTCTATTGCTTATCAATAATGAGCCTTAATTATTTATCTGGAAGCCCGAGCATATTTTTAAGACATAGCAATACTTTAGCAACCTGTTAGAATGAAGGTCAATTTTGATTGATTAAGCGTAAATGATGAATTTTAAGCGCAAATTGCAGATTTTCCCCTCATCATATTGAAGAATTTATTTTTAATAAACTACACTCAGATTAACTTCATGCGGATAACTTTTATCTCGTTTTATTTTCAGAAAATTAACCCAATTTTCCTACTCTTATATTAATAACTTTTGCGATTGGAAAAAAATTCGTGTGCTTTACCATGATGGCTGTCATTGTTGGCGATATTTTCACTTTATTATTACTGTTATTGTTATCATAATAATTTATACTCGTATTAATATGCCACTCGAAGCTGAGCGTTTAGTACTCTCGGATATTTCTCTGAATTTTATGATTAATTTTTTTACGTTTTTACCAGACGGCCAAAGGTGCGATGCTTAACGCATCGAGTTTCAAAAATTGGGTATCAGTCACGTGTATATTTGAATTTCAGCTCAAAATTGTTGAGTAATGCCACTCTAACGAAATTTTTATTTCAGTTATTTTTTACGTGTTGAATTGTTTACGTGTAAAAATAAATACGTGTTGAATTTTTTGAGGAATGCCACTTTAACGAAATTATTTATTCGGTTATTATTTTTTATGGAATTACAATATAGGTACGTATTAAATGTATTTTTATCATTAACATAAATGATATTTATGTAGACTGTATACAAATTCAAAAAGTGCAATGTAAGCAATTTCTTTTAGTTTTCAAATGAAGTCGCAAGACCAGGCAAAAACCGTTAATGCATCAGAAATGGAAGAATTTTTCACGATATACAGATTTTTATTTTATTTAACAATGCACCGTGAAATAGTATCATAATTACAGCCGCAATCCCAGGCGCAATCTTCGATGAGCCCAGCCTGCGGGAGGAGCAAGTTTTCCGCGCTGCAATCGAGGCAATCAACGGCAATCGAAAGCTGTTGGCACACAGCAGATTGTCGGCAATTATCGAGACTGTCAAACCTGGCGACTCTATGGCAGCTTATAAAAAAGGTGCCTTAATGCTGGAGCAATGACAGACTTAAAAAAACTATTCTACAACTCAAATTATTATTACTTATTAGAAAACAAGTTATCAGGATTTACAAGTTCACAGATGACAAAGATAAAAAATGTTGTGTCTTTGATTTTCTGCTTCTTTTTTTATGCTAAAAATGAAACACAAATGCCAATTTTGATACTTTCTCTTATTACTGCAAATTATTCTATAATTTGGATGATAAAAGTCCACGTTGCGTACGGTACTAATATTAAGCCCGTTGCTGATGGCCAGCGTGCGCGATGCTGCAGACCGGCGTAGCGGCCATATTCGCAGGGTCTACAGATGGCGGCAGCGTACAGACTGCCTGCGACCATCTGGAGGTGCCGCTGCTTATGGCGCGCTGGCAGAACAGACGGCCGCCCTTTGCAATCAATCTCCACCCGCCCCCGTCAACGCTGGCCGAAGTGAGTCAATTCCAGATACTGTGATAACCGTATTTATACTGTATTTATACCGTATTAAAAAATTACCGATCAGTCTCTACTTTCCTCTGTCAACTCTGGCCACTGTGAGTCAACTCCAGATACTGTGTAAAACTTTATTTAAACCGTAGTCGTATATGAGTCGTATTTGTTGTATTAAACTGATAGTCAATCAGTCTCTACTCTCCAACTGATGATAAGTATGATGACCGATCAATCTCCACCCTCAATCCTCACACATGCGTGGCTGTCAGCTACATTCACCAAATTAAAGCAATCGTCAATCAATCTCTACCCTCGCCTAGCCACCCTGGGCTCCATGAATTGCATTCATGATTTAAAGCGATCGGCAATCAATCTCCCCTGACAGCCGTGGATTTCTCTTCATAGCATGAGGTCAATGATCGATTCACCGCCACCCCTCACCCTCAGCTGCTGTGATCTAATCTCAGTTCTATGCAACATTCACTGAAAATTTAATGAGCAGTCACTGAACATTCATTGAACATTCAGAAACTGAACAGTCACTGAACATTCATTGAACATTCAGCAACTGAACATTCACTGAACAGTCACTGAATATTCACTGAATATTCACTGAACAGTTACTGAAACACCGGCATTAAAGGATTGGAGAACATCAACAATGATGTTTTGCATGTGACATTTCCTGAGTTATTTTGAAGACAGGAAAAGGTAAATGTTACTTTTCGTCGTCTGAATTTTTCAATTCCTAATACCCTAGAACACCCCACTTTCTTAACCCCAAAAACACTCACTACTTCCACCAACACCACAATAACCCACCCTACTAATGCCTACTTTACAATAACATCTTCTACCATAACTACCCACCATTAAACTCTCCACCAACCCAAACACGCCCATAGCATCCCAATAACACACCCCAACACCCCTGTAGCATCCAAATAACACACCCGACACCTCTTTAGCATCTAATAGCACACCCCAACACGCCAATAACTCCCCCTACCACCGCACACCAATAGCACACTCCTGCACACCAATGACATACCAATAACGCACCAATAACCCACCAATAACACACCAATAACACACCAATGACACACCAATAACGCACCAATAACCCACCAATAACCCACCAATAACACACCGATAACACACAAATAACACACCAATAACACACCAATAGCACACCAATGACACACCAATAAAGCACCAATAACCCACCAACAACACAACAATAACACACCAATGACACATCAATTACGCACCAAGAACCCATCAATAACATACCAATAACATACCAATAACGTACCAAAAACACACCAATAACACATCAATAACCCACAAATAACACACCAATAACGCACCAATAACGCACCAATAACTTACATGAAGTGCATCGCTATTTGGACAAAATATTGCTCATTTTTCCGAGTGTACTTGGAAAAAATAAATTAATGAATTGAGAGAGATCTAATTAGGATCACCTGAAATCACATATACACACTGAAAATTGATGGGTCAAATTGTCCACTTTCAGCTGGTAGCACTGATACGCCATTTTGAGGGGTCAAGCTGGGTGAGGATGACTCACATAGGTACATGAAGTGCATCGCTATTTGGACAAAATATTGCTCATTTTTCCGAGTGTACTTGGAAAAAATAAATTAATGAATTGAGAGAGATCTAATTAGTATGAAGTGAAGAAACCATTAGAGAAGTTCTGGACAAAATATGTGCAGAAAGGCACGGAGATAAATATCAATAAAAAAATCAAAATGATAAAATAGCAATTTATTTGATTTGATGCACAATAATAAATTTTAATGATATACGTTTGAAAATTAATTTTTAAATACAACACTTCCAAAGAATCCAGTATCTCCAATCTTACAGATGTACAATGAATTTCTCATCTAATTTTCGAAAATTAACATTTTTTTTAATATATATAAATTTTTTTAATATTTAAATTTTTCAAAATTATTTATTCTGTTAATTGATTCATGCATTGCCTCTGATCTCACACAAGTGTGCAAAATTTCAGATCAATTAGACACGTAAAAGTGTGTCAAATATCAGTTATAAGATTTGTAGCTGACAACATTATTTTTTCAATTATATAATATTGAAAAAAAAATTTTTAATTTTTAAAATCATTTATTTTGACATTTGATTCATGCATTGTCTCCAACTTTAAACAAGTATGCAAAATTTCGGATCAATAGGATAAGTAGAAGTGTGGTAAATTTCGATTACAAGATTTGTAGCAGACAGACAGACAGACAGACAGACAGACAGACAGACAGACAGACAGACAAACAGACAAACAAGAAGTGAAGTTAAAGAGAAGTGCTGTAAAAAGAGAAATTAAACAATAATATGAAATGAATAATTCAGTGTATTTCATTTAATGTCAAAGAGCCTAATTATGTATATCTTCAGTTATCTCAACTTCAAAAATATACGCGTTTATCAACTGACATGAATGTATTTCTCGAACGTTGGAAGAATTGAGTTAGATGTGTAATTAATATTGTCTCAATATAATTTCGTTTGTATTATGATTCCAACAGCAATATCCGATTTGTGACTTCTATTTTTTATACTGAACATATATCACTGTTTGCATTGAAAATGTCATTACACTTCTTTCCTCACCATTACCTTACGATAAGCTACTGTATATTCCTTAATTTGAATTCTAATTACCCCTGCTCAGGGAGCTTCTGAAGGCAATCAAGTTATCAGGAATTGTGCACATCCTGCTTGAAGTTCATCGCTCCAAAATACATTCCCTGCTGAAGCAGGCGCAGCAGATAGGCCTGATGACGGCTTATCACCACTACTTCATCACTTCTTTGGTGCGCACTTAGTATCCTTAGTATCCTTAGTATCCTTAGTATCCTTAATATCCTTACCATCCTTGGTGTCTTAGTATTCTTAGTATCCTTAATATCCTTAGTATCCTTAGTATCCTTAGTATTTGTTTCGGACGTAACAGTCCCAGGCCTCATTACTACTTACCATGGCTCGTAATATTCATGAAGCCATGGGTCAAAATTAAGTAGATATTCCCATTGGGCTCACTTAACGAATGAATTATCCGAGCCAAGAGTTTAATAACTTTTTATCCATTGACATCTCAGAATATCTTTATAGCGCATTAGAAAGCTCTTGCGATGCTGATTATAACGGTATAATCACTTTTGCTGTAAGTTGAAAATTTGATAATCTGCTGGACCATTGGTAAAAGCCATCCATTATCTTAACCAGGTTTTCACTTACGATAAAAAAGCCATGATCATGGGTCTGGTCGCAGGTGTCATTTTTGGTTAAATTAGGTTAGTTTAGGTTTGGTTAGGTTAGGTTAGATTAGGTTAGGTTAGGTTAGGTTAGGTTCGGTTAAAGTTCCTTTTTTTACTTTTTCTTAAGTGAATCTAGTATGAATATTACGAGCGCGTAATATTCATCAATGCTCTTAAATCTCATGGCTACAGAAACAGGCCACGATGAATCGCCGCATCTCCATTATAGCCATTATCACACTTCGATGCTCATATTCAACAATTGGTTTTTTAAATAAATTGTGGTCGTAAGTGATATTTGGGCTTTTATATTCAGTTTTACTATTTTTTTTAATAGTTATGAACTATCAATGTTCTTCCAGATTATAAAGCTTAATTCGCAAATTTTCGACACTATTTTACTGCAATTGTTACAAAGAGCACATGGTATCTAGTGCATAATTTTCCCTCACTATGTATGCAGTGCACAGGGAATATTTCATTATGTGCTGTGACGGGAACCAGATTTATGTCGCGATAAATCATTTTCATTTTAAATACCATAAAAATCAAAATACGATATTCTGGTGTGATCAGTTTTGATGGAAATTATTTGAAGCAATTGAATTTAGCGGGTATTTCATATTTCTTATGAACATGATTTATTGTGAAATAAATATGGTTTAATTTATTATTATAATATAAATATTATATCAATATGCTACGAATTTTCCCCATCATTCCATGACACCAGGACCTGCACACTGTGGACCTGGAAGACTTCAAATACTCTGGCACCAACACCACAGCTCTGCGTCTCATTAACCTCAGTGACGGAACTCTGCAGCAAATTCTGCGCGATTGGTCTGCTGATCTCGACGACTCTGGGAATATTTTCGGTGGTNCTTTAAATTACCATCTGTAGATTCAAATCTCAGTCAATTCGCACCTACTTGCTTCGGAAAATATGTTCAATTTGCTGTGAATTTTCTTCTTGGTATTGCATTCTCAGGCAATTCGTCCCTATTTACTTTGGAAAATATGTCGAATTTGCTATGAATTTTCTTTTTGGATTGAATTATTTTCCAATTGACCGGCAGACGGAACTGGCGCTGGTGTACGACGCGGTGCAGCTGTTCGCCAGAGCGCTCAGCGACCTCGACAAGACGCGGGCCATCGAAGTGCTGCCGCTCAACTGCTCCAAGGAGCAAGTCTGGCCACTTGGAGCCACTCTCGTCAACTACATCAAGTGGGTCAGTCAAGTGTTTCAAGTGGGTCAGTCTTACATCAAGTAGGTCAGTCATTTGCATTAAGTGGGTCAGTCAATTGCATTAAGTGGGTGAGTTAATTACATCAAGTGGGTAAGTTGATTCACTCCGGTCGATTCAACAAGTGGGTCAGGCAATTTACTTCACTCTAGAAATTTGATTTAAAAGATCCGAAATAGTTTTAGATTTTGAATCGAGTATCAAAGTAGGTTTTATATTATATTTATATTGTTTTTACACCCATATATTGAATGGGAAATGTGTGTTCGAACAGGGATTTTTTTTTCGTTTGGCTAGGCACGATTTGTATTATTAAAGGGATGCTGGATAACAGGACTCTAAAATTGCAGGGATTATCGAGCCCGGAAATTTACGCGAGAACTTGCTAGTGAATAAATAAATGATAAATAAGTTTATAGTGAATGAGTTAATTCGTTAATTATCCATACATCAATAAAATTATTTTTAATAAAATGGTACTGTTGTAAAAAAATATCTAGACGGAATTTAAGTTGTGGGTTTACCCTCCAGAAAAACTTCAGCATTTATTAACGGATCTCTCTGAAACTTCACACATATATGTAAAATCAAAAAACAAGCACATTTTGTTCGTATGATTTTTTCGGAAAAATTCATAGAAAACATGAAATTCATAGAAAACGGAGAAAAAAGGGGGTACTTTAAAAATCTATCTCCTCCTACAGTTTTCAAGCTACAGCATCGAAAGAATACCATTCGATTCGTAAAGACCATATCAATCGAGTAACACAGCTCCATTTTTCATTTTTGCCTTAGTTTTTTTATACGCATTTTCCCGTTTTCTCCTCATTTTCTTCTGATTTCCCCCTCCCTCCTCCCCCCCCCCCCCATTTTCAATCCAAACTATGCACAAATCTAAGAAATGGCTTCGTTACTCGATAGGTATGGTCTTTACAATTCAAACGGTATATCTCTCGTTGATTTAGCTTCAAAACTCTAGGAGGAGATAGGTTTGCAGTGACAATAAGTTAACTTTTCAGTAGAGCCCGACAAATTCCAGCGCGCATTGGAATAGGCACTCAATGTCGCAAGGATACAAAACTAAACGTTACTGGAGCTTGATTTCAGTTAAGGATGGTGGAACGACTTCATGCACACCACCCCATACGACGCCAGGCGGGTAACTGAAGTGCAGCTCAAGCAGACACTCTATTTAAAGTGCTCGGCAGCTAATTTCCCCGTTTCTTAAATGTTGAAGAACTCCACCACCCCCCACCCTTGCGGGATCTGTCGTGAACGCATAAATCAACGTACAGAGATGATTTTGGTACAGTTGGATAGGTTTAGAATGTCAGCTTTAAGATGAGTATAAAACCAAAAAACGCCAAATTTACGACTTTTAGGGTAGACCCCCCCTTAAATTTGAATATCAAAAGCACGTTTAATCATTTGATCATGTTTAAACGTTTTGTAGTTGGGCTTTTTAGTAATAAATGACTATTTAAATTAAAATTGAAGAAAGAAAGCATAAATAATCTTTATTATTTACTATTTGTTTTATTATTATTATTTATGATATTAGGATATTATGATTATGTTTTTAACGTTGAATGTTAAGGTTGAGCTGTACGGCTTCTCTGGACTGGTGCGTTTCAACGCATGTTTTAACGTTGAATGTTAAGGTTGAGCTGTACGGCTTCTCTGGACTGGTGCGTTTCAACGCAGACGGGGCGAGGAGCGACGTTAAGCTTGACGTCGTCGCCCTCACTGAGGGAGGCCTGCGCGTCATCGGCCGGTCAGAGGAAAAAATAATCTCAATGAAAAACAGATTTATGGATCTGTTTTAGTATGATGGACACTTGAAAGAACATTTTTAAGTGACAAGAATGTGTGAATTATCATTAGTAATGATATAATGAAATCCATTTTAAGCCACAATTATGTCTGTCATATCTTTGTTAAAGAAATAATGAAATCCAACTCCATTAAAAGGTTTTATTTGACGTAGACCTAGTAATTTTCTGGCCATTTTCCTATCTTTTAGATTCTTTGGAAATTTAGACTTGATCTCAGACGGAATGCATCAGGACAACTGTACGTATAATGGGCGTGATTATAAAATTTCTAAAATTACGAAGTTTGACGAGCAATAAACAAAAAAAACAGACGAATTTTCGATTTTAATAAATACGTTTGAAATTCTCGAAACTCTACACGGTTGATTTCTAATTTTTTCACCGATGTCAGATTTAGTCATTAATTAAATAAACTTGCTAGGTGGGATCCAATCGGAGGTGCGAATTTCACGCTACCTGGTGACTCTGCCGCACGTCGAGCGGTGAAATCGATGCGTAACTCGCAACTCAAAATCCTGTCCATTCTGGTAAGTGGATAATTCAAGTGGCAAATCATCATTGGTTATAAGCTTTAACCATCATTAAAGTTATAGTTCATGCATGTGCAAACTTATATTTTTAATCAAAAAATTTATTTCCTTTAAATAATCCTGATTGTGCTTATTTTGCATATTAATAACTATCATTTAACTTTTTCCAATAAACTTATACCAATTATTAAAAATCTCTGAAATTATTTTAAACAATTTTATTTTCTGACTAATATTTTTTGCTTATTTTGTTATTTTGTCATTTTTAGTCGCCCCCTTTCGCCATGAGGGCACCTGAGGGGTCTAGTTCTGCTTACGAGGGCATCAGCGTCGACCTGGCGAGGGAAATATCCAGGCTGCTGGGTTTCAACTACACCTTCAACCCTGCGCTGGATGAGTACGGCGAGTTCAACCCAACTCAACAACGATGGACAGGACTCACTGGAGAGATTGTTGAAAAGGTGATGATAGCTTTCACGTCAGTTTCTTTGACAATCACTCAGAAGTTTAATAGTTCGAAAGTATAATTTCTAATTAATATTATTCTTTTTTAAATCTCGTCAATTATTTTCCAGCCTCATCTGCGGCGTCATTGATGAATTAAGTATCTCGCTCCGATAAAAATGTATCATAAGCTTAGTTTATTTCGGAATTTTTCGTCAACAACTAATGTTACCTTCCACAAATTTCGTAATATATTATATTTATCAATATTTTCATCACCCCTACAGCCAATTACCTTCAGATTAGTCAATCCTCGTGGTCAATTTACCCTCATATTAATTTAATTCCTCATACAGATACATTAAGATTAATTTAGTAATTCATTACCAATTTACCCTTTTTTTAATTTACACCCTCTTACAAAGTTAGCCTTTGAATAACTAAAACCCCATTAACCAATTTAGTCCATATATATTTAGATTCTAATGTAAAATTTACACTAAGATTATTCTAGATCCTGATTACAAACTTACCCTCAGATCAATTTAGACCCTAATGACCAACTTACCCTCACACCAATTTAGCCCCTAATAACCACTTACCCTCAGATCAATTTAG